ATGCAAGTTTCAGAGTGGGGATGGGGATAGTGACCATATGGGGCGAATTGAAAAAGAAATGAGTACTTGTCGAATAGATGTCAGCGTCAGGTAATTGTGTGTGACAGATTCCTGGGTATGACAGACTTTTCATTTGGGTAGGATCTTACAAGATGAGCTGAAATTTTTCATTAAGAACCGAGCTGTATATGTCGATTCATGTGATTTGTAGGAGGTGGGGATAGGCCTCAGGACATCCCATCTTAAGTATTTTGTTACCCTTACGAGGGCTGTGTCTGCTGGCATCCTGTACTGCCAGGACTCCTTTTCCAGAGCAGTAGTGAAGCTTGCAGAGGTCCAGGCTTCCTGATACTCCCCTGAATGGCTATGACTATTCTATTTCTTTTTTAACATTGAAGGAACTATAAAAATTGTAAATGTTCCTAGATTTAAAAAAAACACACTCAACTTCTCCTTAGCTGTCATGATAAAAGAAGATCTCCTTAAAGCTCTCTTTGTTCTGATGGAATATTCAGTTTAACAGGAGGCTAGAAATTCAACTGTCTTCCAAGGCAGGTGTGACACAATTGTGTGAATTAAGCTGGTTGTAAGATTGAGAATGAGTGTGCTGTGGTGAGCCGGATAAGGCATGCCCTACCAAGTGGCATGCAATTGAAAATGCTTTTAAACATTCTCTACTGCAGGGTAAACAACATGTGTATCTCTGCTTTGGAATAATGTGTTTTAATAATACTCCTGTTAGACTGAGGTATAGATGAAAGGTCCTCTCAATGTAGTTTCTGCTCCTGTCTTATTATGGGTTGATCAGAAAAGTTGGTCTGTATCAAAGGGATGTATAGGTTGGACCTCACACTTTATACCATACCTTTGCTCATGATTGAGTTCGAAGTTTAGGAAATGAAAAGGTGGTAAGAGTAGTTCACTTGAATTATCACTATGGCTGGCCACAGTGTTATTTTAGAGCTTGGAATGGGCCGTTTTTGCCTTGTTTATACTTATATTCATTTTTAACCTTTACCCACTCTTAGCCTAGTCTGAAGTAAGAGAATATAAACAAAAAGCAAAAGCAAAATGTTTAAACTGTCAATAAAGGAAAAATAATTGAATACTGTTAGAGTTTAACATGCTGTTTATTTTCTCTTTAGTACTTTTATTCCAAGATAAATAGTGATCATAGCCCAATAATATTACTATTCTGAACAGTATTATCAATGTTTATGGGAAATTAATTTTGTTTATTTAATTAAATGATTTAAACTTTCTTTGCTATGGAATTATGGGGCTTTAGTTAGTCAAGGAGTTATATTTTCCCCTATAAAAATATGCCTGTGATATTTTAATGAAACTCAGTAGAAAAACAGAATGACACTACCAGACATTTGTTTAGAAACACCTCTGCATTTCAGTAAAGGATATTGTAAAGAAAATGGTATTTTATGATATAAGATATTTTAACATTAACTTCAAAGAGATGTAACCCAACATCCTATGGGATCATTCTCTTGAAGAATGAAACAGAAAGGTAGAGATGTCTTTGTATGTAAAATGTAGGTGAGAGAAAAGATAGGGAATAGGAGTATTTTATCAACTTGGGGACTGTTCAGTTTGGTCTGTACTATTCCAGCCAATTATTTACTGGCAAAACTTGCCATTTGAGGGTACAAGGCTCATTAAGCATTTGTGTATGTCCAAGGGTTTGTTTAACTTAAAGAGATACAGTATGTACAAGTTTACCAAACAAAAATGGCCGGTTCAAAGTTCTATGACCAGTGGCATGTCCACTGAAGCAATCAGCGCAGGTCTGCTGATGTTTCGTTAAAATTTCAAAGGTTACTATGCGTGGGCTTTAGAATTTGTTTAGAGCAGTGATAACCTTGACCCTCTTTCAGCAGAAGTGCACGTTTATTAATCTGAGACCCACCATCACATTTCAATCATTAATATTCACCTTGAGGTTCAGATAATCACGTAATTCCACTATAGGTTACTTGGTTCTTAAAGCTGATTGACTCTATTTTATGTTTGCTTTACCCCAAGTACCATCACTTTAAACTGTTCTTTGGAGTGCTTACTTTTAATTCAATTTGTTCAATGCAACGTTGAATAATGAGTGACTCAAGTGGCCTAATGCAGTTAGTAGGGGCTTTAACAGCCTCCGTGCATAGGCCTGCATGGTGGCTCACGCCTGTAATCCTAGCACTCTGAGAGGCCGAGGCAGGAGGATTGCTTGAGGTCAGGAATTCAAAACCAGCCTGAGCAAGAGCGAGACCCTGTCTCTACTATAAATAAAAAGAAATTAATTGGCCAACTAATATATATAGAAAAAATTACCTGGGCGTGGTGGCGCATGCCTGTAGTCCCAGCTACTTGGGAGGCTGAGGCAGAAGGATCGCTTGAGCCCAGGAGTTTGAGGTTGCTGTGAGCTAGGCTGACGCCATGGCACTCACTCTAACCTGGGCAACAAAGCGAGACTCTGTCTCAAAAAGAAAAAAAAAACAACAGCCTCCGTGCAGACAGAAGGATTGGGTTTGTGACTTGATTGCTAAACTCAAGTTTAGGCTTTTTCTTGTTTAGTTTCTTAATGGCTGAAACAGAAATAGATTTTAATTTTATTTCACAAACCAGATATTTCATTTTTAATTGAAGAGATCTCCTGTGAGCCCCCACAATGTCCATTCAGATTTCCCCTTTCCCAGTTTTAATGTGATATGTTCTCAGTTTTAAGATTTTGAAATGACAGATTTGCGTTTGTACTTTATAATGCATAACCAAACCACAATTACTATTCTTATCTCCTGATTTTATCATCATTTCTCCTGCCATAAAAATAAAATATGTTTGTTTGTTTGTGTTTTTTCTGGGAAGAAGGCAGATGTTGCTCTGAAAAGATTTTATTTGACATCTATATTTAACATATGTATTTCTTGGATATTTGGGTACGAGTTGGTAAATCTTCATACTCTTCCATAAGTTCTCTATGTCAAGTATCTGAAATGAAGACTAGGATGATGGAAGGCTACTAGACTTCAGCTTAGAAGAACACCGTTTTTGTCCTGACCTTATAACTTACTAGTGTTTTAACCTTGGACAAGTTGTTCTTCTCTCTTAACTTTCCACATTGCCTTCCAATGCTGTTAGAAGAATTATATTTAACATTATACAACTAGTTTTGCTGCACTAATATACAGCACTATTGCAATCTTTCTAAGGTCTGGAATGAAAGAGTAGTGCCTATTTAAATTATGTAGACATAGTTTGAACTAAAAATAAATACTCGTAGTCTAAAAAATGATTTCTTTTTTATTTGTGAGTTTAAATGACTAGCCTTAACATGTATACAATTAAATCATATGCAGTTATGCTTTTAATTAAACATAATATTGATGAATAAAATTAAATACAAATTTAATAAAATAAAAATTTAAAAATTGTCTCAGAAAATTCAGGTAGTGATTTACCATATACATGGATGAAATAATTTGATTCTGAAGGCTGTAAAATTACCAATAAATTACTGGAGGTATAATTGCTTTGCACTAAATGTATTTATTTTGTTATAAGAAGAAGAAATAGAAGAAAATAGACTACTTCTCTAATAAATATTTTTATACTTTTATATTGTTAATTCAGCAAATACTTGTTGGGTATCTACTCACTCATTTAATGAGTACTTAGTTATTGAATGTCCAGTATCCTACCCATGGGGGGTAGAGTGAGAATCAAGACAGGTAAAGGCCTAACCCTTAAGGAGCCTACAGGCTAGAGTGAGAGGTGTTTTGTAAGTAAGGGTGGGAGCTGGATCCATTGATGCCCTTCAAAAGGCAGGATGGAAATTCAGATGAAATTTAGAGTGTAATAAGAAGGATGGATAAAATATCTGAATTCTTCATGACACTTCCATTTTCAAAATGTAATAGCAAATATCATTATGGTGTTAAATGGAATTTCAGGGTTATGATATTATTTTTTTTCCCAGAGATAGGCTACTTTTAACCACAGTATCAATTCCATTTGCAACACCAGGAGTTTTGAGTTACATTTCCTTAGGGAGCTCTGACAACACACATGTTTGTTCAGCCCTGTCCTGTGTTCTTGGTTAATGTGTAAGGAAGGTGGAAGAGTTCTATGAGCCTGAAAAAATTACTGTTTGCCAATGGATAAAGTATGCAGGTTCTGTGAATCTTGTGTGTATAGTAGAGTGGAGTGGTTAAGAGCACTGATTCTAAAGTCTAACTGCCTGAGTTTGCATCTATTGCTTAGTAGCCGTGAACCCTTGAACAAACTAAACTGCTTAACCTGATGCTTCAGGCTTCTCATCTGTTAAATGGGCATAGTAATAGTACCTACCTTGGTTGTGAGGATTCATTGAGTGCGTATGTGTGCATTTCTTAGAACAGGGCCTGGGCCATCGGGAGTGCTATTTACGTGTTTCTTTGGGGAATAAAGACTCATTTCTCCTACCTTAGGTTACCCAACCCTGACTCTTTAGGAACTGGTTAGTTTTTAGATGTGGAGGGAAAATATCTACTTTTTAATAGCCTCAGATGAATCAAAATTGTGGAAAGGATGTTACAAATCATCTGACCTAATCCTTCCATTTTATAGGTAAGGAAACTGAGATCTAAAAATGTTGAATTACTTGTTCAATATCACTTTAAATAATTATTAGGCAGGTAAACCTAATCTAGATTAGTACTGTTAGTCACCGTAATTCAGCTGAGATCATGAAATAATCCAGTTTATGTGAGCCACCTTGAGTTACAAAGACCCACCAAGTTGAACTGAGATCTAAGAACTCTGACTTTCCCAAGGCTACAAAGGGGATAAGAAAACTCAGGTCAAGTTCAAGCTTCCAGATTTGAATTCGCCATCATGTGAACCACATGCGAACCATACTTACATAAAAATACAGGTGGTCAGAGCTGTGTTATATTAAGGGAGAGCTATTACTTACAGGGAGAATTTCTGTAAAAGTATTTATTTCTCTAATATGTTTTTACCTGTTAGTTTTTTTGTTGAGGTCAATTGAGTCTCTTGTTGACCCTCAGACAATGAGTTTTCTTTTATGTCACTCTCCTGTGTTCAGTGAAGTGTCTGTGATGACAGATAAAGACATTAAGATAAAGCAGTTGCAGATTTAACGTCCACAGTCTTGACTCTTTTCAAGCCACTCTGAAGGCCCTTTGCATTTATAAACTTATAGTTGTGGTGAGGCACACATTTTAAGTGAGGATATTGGGGTATGGATGGAGTGACTCACTCATTCTCTCATTCACTGAGCAGATATTCATTGTGCATTTACTATAAGCCAGTCCATCATCTAAGAGACCTAGCCAGTCTCACATACATTTCAACATTGCTTTGTGGGTTTCTGTTTTTCATGGCTTCATCCAGTAACTTTTTTTTTTTTTTTTTTTGAGACAGAGTCTGACTCTGTTGCCTGGGCTAGAGTGCCTTAGCTCACAGCAACCTCAAACTCCTTGGCTTAAGCGATCCTCCTGTCTCAGCCTCCCATGCACCACCATGCCCAGCTAATTTTTTCTATATATTTTTAGTTGACCAATTAGCATGTTTCTATTTTTAGTAGAGATGGGGTCTCACTCTTGCTCAGGCTGGTCTCGAACTCCTGACCTTGAGCGATCCTCCTGCCTCAGCCTCCCAGAGTGCTAGGTTTACAGGCATGAGCCACCATGCCCGGCCCATCCAGTAACTTCTTACTGTAGAAATTCAAAGAGTTAAGAAGTTAAGAGAGTCAAGAAGATAATTTTAAGGTCCTACTTTATATTCTTTCGGATATTGCAGTCTTAAAAAGGATATTTAATATGGAAGGGTTATTGTGATTAGGTCTGATGAATCAGGTTTGATATATCATTTCTATTTTGCCTGATTCTCTAATTTGACTGTTATCACATATCTATTGGTCTATTTTTCTAAGCATCCAGACAAAATACCACTTTTTGTTTTAATTTGGATCATACTGAATTAAATCCTGTTAAAATATTTCCTGAATTCGTAAACTCTATAATTTCTCTGTTGGTGTACCAAGCTTGCTACGGTATATGATTATAAATGCATAATTTATTTTAAAAATCCTTAAATTGAGACCAGACCATCAGAATACAATGATCTGAATCTGACGTACTTCAGGATTGATAGAATGTATGAGAAGGTATGTGTGATCTCTGAGGTATTAAAATCAGCCAGTCAATTTTGACAGCAATTGATAGGTGAGAATAACTTTTTTTTGAAGCAGTAAAACACCAGTTTTGCTAGATTTTTCCTGCAAAAAAATTGTCTATTGATTTTCAAGGAATGTACTCATTTAGATTTACATCCTCTGCACTCAACTGAATAGCACAAATAATTCTGTTGGATAGAAATAAATACTGATTTCAAAATTCGACCTTTAAAATAGCAGAGTTCCCTGATCTAGTTGTGCACACTTGTTTATCATTATGATATTTCTAAAATTAGGAAGCATTTTGCAACTGAGATGTGTTTTTTTTTTTTTTTGAGATGTGTTTTTTAATGTTGCCTTTTTTCCTTCTTTCTTTTCTCCTAAAAGTTATTAAAGCGATGCTATGTCTATACTTAATGGCATTTTAAAATTGAAGAATAATGTAAATCCAATGGACTATGAGATGATCAGTTTTCATTTTAATTTCATAAATGATATGATTTAAAAGACAAATTAAGTAGCTATTATCATGGATTTTTCAAATTGATGGAGTTTTACTAGTCTTTCTTATTTTCCAATACTTTTGTGAACTAGGGAATCCTAGTAGTGCCACCATAATCTCTACACACACATTGGATTTTATGAAAACATTTAAAACTACATGTTGAAGGTATTTACTGTTAACTTTATTCAACCGTGCATTGGAAACAAGGCATTTTTCTTGCATATTTAGCACAATTCCTGACACATTTCAGACACTCAGTAAATATTTATGGAGTGATTGACTAAAACAACGAATACTTGAACAGAGCATAATGATATTTCAAAATGAGCTCACGATCTCTTTAAAAGTCTTTAGTAGGGTATATGATTAAATTTTATGTATATACACAGTTGGAATAAATACAGGAAAACTTGTAGCAATTCCAGGTTATCAAGATCGAATCAGAAATCTGACTTCCATTGTTTAAAGAAAATAACTAATAGAAGCTATTGAACAATTTTACATGTAGACGTTGAATATGTGCAAATCTATATAACATCATGACTATGTTAGAAAAATGTTGGCTTCGAGATACTGATAATGTAACCAAAATCAAGTGGCTTTTGAAAATGGCATGGTGTTTTCTGTTTCTTCTGAACATGTTTGAATAAGATTTACTTTCATAAAATAATATGATTTATAAATAGTAGAAAAAAATGACTCTGAATAATTAATTTATTTGAATGATTTCCACCCCCTCATTATTTGTGATATCTTGGATTCTTACATGTGTCATGGTTTGGTGACACCCCTGAGGTTTGCTAAAAGTTTGGGGGGATATAGATAAGTTTTCAAGCAAAATTAGTTTTAATTTACTTATTTTAATTTACCTACATTTCTCTAAGCCCCCACACATACGTGGCCTCCTCCGTTATCAACATCTGCCACCAGATGAACCTACACTGACACATCATCATCCAAAGTCCATGGTTTAATTAGGTTCACTGTTTGTATTGTGCATTCCGTGTGTTTGGACGAACTTGGGACATGCGTCCACCATTAGTATCATACCGAGTACTTTCACTGTCCTGCTCTGAAAATCCCTTTTGTTCTTCCTAGTTATCCCTCTTAACTCCTGGCAACCTTTGATCTTTTCACTGTCTCCATGCTTTTGCCTTTTCCAAAATGTCATATAGTTGGAATCATACAGTATATAACCTTTTCAAACTGGCTTCTTACACCTAGTGTGGTATATGCATTTAAGTTTTTTCAATGTCTTTTCATGGCTTGATTGCTCATTTCTCTTTAGTGATGAATAGCATTCCACTGTCTGGATGTACCGTATGTAGTTTACTTACCCATTCACCCATTAAAGGACATCCTGATTGCTTCCAATTACAAATAATAAAACTGCCATAAACATCCATGTGCAGGTTTTTATATGAACACAGATTTTCAGCTCCTTTGGGTAAATACCTAAGGGTGTGATTGCTGGATCATATGGTAAGAGTATGTTTAGTTTTGTAAGAAGCTGCCAAAAACTGTCTTCCAAAGTGGCTGTATAATTTGCAGTCCCACCAGCAAAGAATGAGGGTTCCTGTAGCTCCAAATCCTTGGCACTTAGTGTTGCCAGCGTTGTAGATTTGGGCCATTCAATAGGTGTGTAGTTTATAGTGGTACTCATTGTTTTAATTCATATTCCCCTGATAACATGACGTGAAACATTTTTTCATATACCTATTTTCTATCTGTATATCTTCTTTGGCGAAGTGCCTATTAAAATCTTTGGCCCATGATTTAATCATGGTCCTTGCTTTTTTATTGTTGAATTTTAAGAGTTTGTTGTCTACTTTGGATAACAGTCTTTTATCATGTCTTTTGTAAATACTTTCTCCAGGATTATGGCTTTCCTTTTTTATTCTCTTGACAGTATCTTTTGCAGAACAGAAAATCTTGATTTGAATGAAGTCCAGCTTATCAATTCTTGCTTTTACAGACTGTGCCTTTTGTGTCATATCTAGGAAGTTATTGCCAAAGCCAAGGACATTTAGATTTTCTATGCTATTTTCTAGGAGTTTTATAGTTTTGGTTGACATTTAGGTCTGTAATCCATTTTGAGTTATTTTTTGTGAAGGGTATACGGTCTGTGGCTGAGTCATTTTTTGCACATGGTATCCAGTTGCTCCAGCAACATTTGTTGAAAACAATATCTTTTCTCCATTTTATTGCTTCTGTTCCTTTGTCAAAGATCAATTGACTACATTCATATTTATGCATATTCATATTTATGTGGGTCTATTTCTGGATTCTTTTGCCAATGTCACATTGTCTTGATTATTATAGATTATACAATAGGTCTTGAAGTTGGATAGTGTCCATTCTCTGACTTTGTTCAGGATTTTATTGGGTATTCTGGATATTTTACCTTTCCATATAAACTTTAGAATCAGTTTGTCAATATCTACAAAATAACTTGTTGGGTTTTGACTGCAAGTGCATCAATTCTATAGATCAAGTTGGGAAGAACTGACATCTTGACAATATTGAGTCTTTCTATCCATGAACATGGAATATGTTTCTTTTTATTTAGTTCATTGATTTCTTTAATCAGAGTTTAGTTTTCCTCATATAAATCTTATACATATTTTGTTAGATTTCTATATAAGTATTTCATTTTTTGAGGTGCTAATGTAAATAGTGTTGTGTTTTTAATTTCAAATTCCACTTGTTCATTGCTGATACATAGGAAAGCAATTGATTTTTGTAACCTGCAATCTTGCTATAATTGTTTACTAGTTCTTTATTTTCTGATTCTTTAAGATTTTCTACATAGATGATCAATGATCATGCCATCTGCTAACAAAGACAGTTTTTTCTTCCTTTCGAAAAATATTGAAAAGCAGTGTTGAGGAGACATCCTTACCTTATTCCTGAAAATGTTCCTTAATTTTTTATAAGTCAAATTCATTTCTATTTTTGAACCTGCTTGAAGTGGAGAAATTTTCATTTTCATCAGTTTGGGCTTTCCTTGAGTTGGCCATGAGATGCCAAGATACAAGGGGAGGGGCTCATCAATCCCTTAGTTTTTTGTCCACATAGCTATCTACTAAGATGTGAGCCATTGCCCATCTGGTCTTCTATTTTGTTTCTTGTTTGTTTGTTTTTTGAGACAGGGTCTCACTCTTTCATCTGGGCTAGAATGTGGTGATGCCATCATAGCTCACTACAACTTTAAACTGGACTCAAGCAATCTTCCCACCTCAACCTCCTGAATAGGTAGGCCTACAGGTGCATGCCACCATGCCCAGCTATTTTCTTTTCGTCTTCTTCTTCTTCTTCTTCTTCTTCTTTTTTTTTTTTACTTTTTTGTAGAGATAGGATCTTCCTATGTTGCTCAGGCTGGTCTCAAACTCCTAGCCACGTGCAATCCTCCTGCCTTGGGGCATGAGCCACTGCCCTTGGCAAAAAGAACCTTTGTCCTTGCTTTTCATCCTCATATCCCTTCTACAAAGCATTTAGCACACAGTGGCCTAACTGGTTGATGATAAAAATCAACATTTTCTAAAGAAAGAAAGAGAGTATATAGATTTAAAAACGTCATCTCGCTGCATAGGTACTGGTATTTGTTTTATTTTGTGGGGACAAGTTGGTGTCAGCCTGTGAGTTTTTGTAATTATCCAGATGACAGTGAGGACAATCCCAAAGATTTTGGGAATCCTCATATAAAATATGTACTTTTATTGATATATCTTAGTTGTATGTGTTTTTTGGGTACATGTGATATTTTGATACCTATACATAATGTGTAATGGTCAAATCAGAATAATGGGGATATCCACCCCCTTAAACATTATCTCTTCTTATGTTAGAAATGTTGCAATTCTTCTCTTCTAGCTAATTTGAAATATATAAGAAATTATTGTTAACTTTAATTTCTCTACTGTTGAATACTAGAACTTATTCCTTCTACCTAATTATATTTTTATATCCCTTAAAAGCATTTTTTGATGTCACATTAAGATTAGAAGGTAAGAATCTTTAGAAAAACAGTCCCTTCTGTGATGTCATTTTTTGAATGACAAACTAGAATTATTTTACATTGAGCCCTAATTCATTTTGGAAAAAAATGTAAATAATGCTAAACACCAACAAAACTTATAAAAAATACATAGTTACAGTTATCTTCTGCACTAGTAGCTGTAAAACTGAGAGGCTGAAAAGTAATTCACTTCAAGTAATTCACTCCAAGGTTAGTGGCAGGGTTAAGAATTGATTCCAACTCCTGTTTTAACATTCACGTGCAGGATTCTGCCAGGTGCCTAGCACTGTGCCAGGCACTTAACATGTTTGTGTAAAATAACTAAGAGAAAATTTTCTAGTGTTTTTGATTTTTTCTCCTTTAGGGATTCTGGATTAATTTTAGCTGCTTTTAACTGGGTCATTCCAAGACTTGAAACAGGGAAAATATAGAGGTCCTTTACAAAGAGTGTGTATGTTAGCCTTGAAAATATTTTCTAGAGTTACTTGTGCACATGTTAGTAATTAAGAATAGGATATATGTGAGTAGGTGTGTTTAATATACATCTCTATCATCTATCTGCTTGCCTATCTGTTAATATCTATCTAAACCACATCATGTTTTGCTAAACTTCTTGAACTCTTCATTTTCGCATGTAGTTGTGTGGTTACTACATATAATAGCAATAATAACATAATAATAATAGCCAACGTTTATTGGGCACTTGCTATGTGCCTGGTACTTTTTAGGCACTGTACATGTATTAAATCACTGAATCCTCAAAACAAACTCATCTCCCCAATTTATAGTTGAGGGAATTGAGACACAAAGTAAACTTGTCTTATGGCAAAAACTAGTAAATGGCAGCGGGAGAATCCCACCCAGGCAGTCCGTGTTTTTAGTCACTTCTCTATGTGAATATAGAAGGAGCAATATCAGGACTGTGTGTTCCCCTTATACCTCATGGGTCTTTGACAGGGTGAGTTAGAGAGCAAAAGGACTTTTCTAAACTAACTCCAATGTTTCTGGAATGATTTTTTAAATTTGTATGTAATATGGCACTCACTGCAGTTTTTTAGCATTTTTTTTTCACATTGGAAGAGATAAAGTGATTTTCTCAGGTGTTGCAGAAAATTAACATAATAACCCCTAGTTTTACTTTACCATATTGTCCCTTACAAATGTCTCACCTCTGATGTGTTAAACATGGGCTCAGCAGAACACTGTGATGCAAAACAATAAACTATTTTAAACTTTTTCCCCCAAATTAGATTCCTGTCATGTTTAAGTAAATGACTATTTTATTGTGGTTTTTATTGGTGCTTTTCAGAGCTGTCAACTGTCACCCACATTACAGAATAATGAGACTCATTTGTTGATTCTCTGCCCAGGAGATCTCCCCAGCTGATACACAATCCCATATTCAGCATTTCTGCTTCTCCCAGAGCTGGTCTGGTCCTTGAAGGTTGTTTTTTGTGTGGATTTCTGTAACTCATTTGCCCAAAGTATACTAGTCAATGGACATAGTTCACTCTTTGTTGATTAGGGTTGTAGACTGTTTGCTGTCTGCCTGGGTTTTGCAAATTATCTGTGGTAAAGGATCAAAGTGTCAACATCAGGTCATTGGCCTTCAAAGTGGTGGATGGACTGATATGATAGTTTAAAGTCTTTAAATAAATTTATTCTTTAATATACTGAAGGCCTTTGATAGGGCACTGTTTTTATGCAAAAGAAATTAACTGTGGTCAGAAGTGATTCTAAAGTGCAAGGTGTTGTATATTTCTATATATTAAATTTTAAAAGTAATATGAATACATATTGTTTTGACTTTAACACTCACAGCCTCTGGTCTTGTAGTACAGATTTTTTTGGCATGTCTTTGCTTTTAATTTGTAAAATCCTTGCAAGAAATTAATGTGTATATTCACATTTTTATGTAGTTTCTAAAGGCTTAAAACTGTTTTTAATACAAGGTAAACAGCCAAGAAAGATTTTGAATTAACTCTTTGTCCAAATCAAACATAACTATAAATCTATCAAATCTATCTCGTTCTTTGCACAAGATTATTTAAATGTTAGGGTCAAGATATGCGAGTGTGGTCATCAAGATAGGTATTATGTCACTAAATCAGAGAGTGCGATGTGACTATCCAATAAGTGTTCATGAGGATAACCGAGTAATATTACAAAGCCCTTTACAAGTCAGTAAGGCTACAAATAAGGAAAAATGGAAGTTTATCTTCTTTCCTATCAAGGTAAACTTGGTTTTTATTGTGTCACATATGTGTGTGATCAATCAACATTAATTTAGTGAATTCTTTCCGCATGTTTCACCATATATTTAGCTCTATTAAAGGTTGGTGACACAGAAATAAAATAACTAGGAATTTAAGTCCTCTGCTGTCTTCAAGGTGCTTATAAATTACTCACAGGGTAATCACAGAGGTCCTCACTCTGCTGCTCACCAGCGACATCACACTGCGTAAGGGTCCGAGTCTTCTTTTCTAGACTTGTGCATTGCAGATGCTCCTGGTTTTCCTGTCCTTCCCACCTGCTCCTTCTCATTGGCTTGCTCTGGCTCCTCCTCCACCTGTAGACCCCTAAATGTTATAACACCAAGGGTTCCGTCCTGAGCACTCATCCCTTCCCTGTCTACACTCCCTTTTTGGGTCATCAGATGATCTTATTTAAATTCATGTCTTCAAACACAATCTATGTACTATTTTTTTTCAAATTTTTATGCATAGCCAGGGCTTCTCCCCTGAGTTCTAGATTCATTCTAGAGTTCTAGTTCTAGTTCATAGTTCTAGTTCTATATTGTGCAACATCACATTTTTACCTGGATGGCGAAAAGATATTTCAGACTTAACAAGGCCACACAGAGCAGTACTTACGTTCCTAAAACCTAGTATATATCCTCCCACCTTCCCCTCCCCTGTTCCCTCCAACCCCTCAGCCCTTCCCACATCCATAAATGGCCCCAGCATTTCTCTGAGTTGTTTAGGTCAAAACCCAAGAGTCTTTATTAAGTCCTTTTTCTTCTTCTTCTCACACTTCACACCTAATTTGTAGTAATTGCTGACAGCTCTACTCCCAAAATATATTCAGAATCCAACCACTGCCGACCACTCCCTTTGCTATAATCCTAGTCTAGGCCTCCTCATCTGTTGCCTGGGCTACTGCCACAGCCTGCGAGCGCCCTTACCCGCTCATGCCCACTGCTGTCTGTCGCTTTCACACAGTGATCTTTCCAAAGCGTAAATCAGAGTTTGTCACGCAGCTTCTTAAGAGTGGACCTGTGACTTTGACAGCTGGAACAAAGTTCCGCCTCCTTACGGAGGTCTAAATAGCCCTTCTCTGCCTCCCTCCAGACCTCACCTCACTCCACTCCCCTTGTTCATTCCACTGTGGCCACCCTGGTCTCCTTTTTTTTTTTTTTTTTGAGATAGTCTCATTCTGTTGCTGGGCTGGAGTGCCATGGCATCAGCCTCGCTCACAGCAACCTCAAACTCCTGGGCTCAAGCGATCCTCCTGCCTCAGCCTCCCAGAGTGCTAGGATTACAGGCGCAAGACAGCACGCCCGGCCCACCCTGGTGTCCTTTTCATCCTCTCTTAGAACCTTGTCACTTCCTGCGCCTTTCACTTTGAATGCCCTGTTTCCTCGCCCCACACCCAGTCCCGTGGCTTTCTCTTGTCCTCACTCAGATCACAGCAAAGTGTCACTTCCTCAGACAGCTTCTCTGACACCTTTAGGAAATCTCCACCCTTTCACTATCACACTCACCCACCATACCTGATTTTATTATCCTCCACTTACCAGTATATGAAATTAGTTTGTTTGCTTCTTTATTTACTTGTTTATTTGTTGTCTTCCCCACCGAATGTAAGCGCCCTCATGTTAAGGAACATGTACCGTGTTTCCCCGAAAATAAGACAGGATCTTATATTTATTTTTCCTCAAGAAGACACCCTAGGGATTCTTTTCAGGGGATGTGTGATTTTCCCCTCAAAGCCTCAGCTTGCAGCACACACAGGATGGCCGGGACCTGACAGGGGGAGCCGACCTTGTTGGTGGGGCTGCCCGCACCTTTCCGGTCACCTCTGGGACAGTAGCTGTCACGAAGGGGCAGATGAGAAGGGCTGCTTGTCTTCTTTACTACTCCGCGACGACATGCACGGGTTGTGCAGATGCGCTGCGCAGCCACGCCCAGCACTAGGTCTTATTTTCAGGGTAGGGCTTCTATTGCGCAAATACTTAGAAATCCTGCTAGGGCTTATTTTATGGGTAGGTCTTATTTTCGAGGAAACACGGTATGTTCTATTCAGTGTTGAATCCCCAGCACCTAGAATAGAGCCTGGTACATAGTAAGTCACCAGAAAGTTTATTGATGGTTAACTGGCCTTTATTTTCTTATCTGTAAAACAAAGAGTACAAGATCAGTGAGCTCTGACCTCTGACCTCTGACCTCTAGCTCCATGTATCTATACCTACTTGACATCCCTTCTTAAATGTCTCAAAGATGCCTCAAATGTAACACCTCCAGATCATACTGATGATCTTCCTTACAACACTCTGGTCTCTGGCCAGTGCCTTGTAGACCAGGGAGGAGTACCGCCATCATTGGATTGTAAAGACAGAAGGCTAGAGATCGCCACGACACCTCTACTTCCCTTGCTTTAACCCATCAAGCCCTGCTAATTTTATCTCCTTTGAGTTTTGTGCTGGGGAGAACCAGCCCCCAACCCTGGCCCACTTCTCCTCTCTACCCCCTTGACTCCACCCTGCGTGATGAGGGGCCTCATCTATGTGCCTGTGGAAATCCCACTCCTCCTGTTATTCACCATCGTCTCACTGCTTGTGGCATAAAGACCAAGATGTTTACTGTAGCTAAGATGACATTCAAGGCTATCCCTTGTTTGCTATTTCATCTCACACTTCACCTTCCTCTGACCCTTTGTCTAGCCTTTCTTGTGGTTTCTTCCAAGCATTTGCACATGCTGTTTCCTCTGCTTAGAAGGCTGTTTTCTTCCTTTGCTACTCATGCTCACTTAACGAATTCTCAGCTCAAATGGCAGGTTCTTGGGAAAGCCCTCTTGGACTCCCAGGCACATGGTATTAAATAAATACCGCTTGAATCAGGAGCACTGTTTCATCCCTAAACTCTTGGGTGGTGTACTGATCTTGTCAATCATCTTAGACAGACTGCTTCCCCATCCAAGTTTTGTGGGTTCTACAAGGATAGTATCTTTCTTTGGGGCCTGCAATATTAAAATGGCCACATTTCCGTACTTAGTTTTGCCTGGAAACCCAGATAATTATAAATTCTACTTTTCTATTATGTGTGCCAGCCTGCTTTTCTTTTCTTTTTTAAAGTTCTGCAGAAAGTTCCATTATCTTTGAAGTTGGGACCTAATTCTTTGCTTTGGTCTTTTATCTAGCATTGAGAAACCACACATGTTCATCCCCTCGGTCCTTCCCTCAGTGCTCTGGCTATTCATGCCATTTCTCCAGGCAAAGTTCCTTCACAAGCAAAAATAAACCTAGCGAATGCACATTTGAAGTTTGAAGTGTGTTGAGCTGCATAGGTAACTAAAGTGGTTACAGCCCACACTTCTTATTTATGTATGAAATTACCCTTGGATTTAGAGCTTCTTCTCTACTGTTTCATTATCATCCCAGGAGTACCTCATGTTCTACGTACAGAGTAACTTATTGTATTTTAATTATCTTCCTATGTGTCTGTCCCCCCTGTTAGACTGTGAACTCCTTGAAGTCAGAAAATATGTTTTATTGGCCGGGCACGGTGGCTCACACCTGTAATCCTAGCCCAGGCGGGTGGATTGCTCGAGGTCAGGAGTTCGAAACCAGCCTGAGCAAGGGCGAGACCCCGTCTCTACTATAAATAGAAAGAAATTAATTAGCCAACTAATATATATAGGAAAAATTAGCCGGGCGTGGTGGCACATGCCTGTAGTCCCAGCTACTCGGGAGGCTGAGGCAGCAGGATTGCTTGAGCCCAGGAGTTTGAGGTTGCTGTGAGCTAGGCTGATGCCACAGCACTCACTCTAGCCTGGGCAACAAAGTGAAACTCTGTCTCAAAAAAAAAAAAAAAGAAAATGTGTTTTATTAATCCTTTGTATCCTCAGAGTCTAGTAAATGCTTGGTATATAGTAGACACTCAATACATTTTGAGCATGAATGAAAAACTAGGTGTCACTACTTAAAAATCAGTATGAAATGTTCTTTTGTGGATCGTGCCCTGTCAGCAAGAACGTTGTTGTTCTTAAATAAATAGTATGTGTGTTGATGCCAGGGCAATGTTTGCTTTTAGATGCCATCATTCCTGATGTGCATTTTTTGCCAGTTTTCCATGTACCTGCAGAGAGAAGTTTGGACTCATCGATACAGCCGTTTGCCTTCAAGACAGTAAATGTGGAGAGACTGATTTATATAATTTTAAGGCATGAATAAATAAATAGTGCAAATATAAAAATTAAAATTGAATTGAAATAGTTACGGTATATATTTTAACTAGTAATTTAAGCTATTTATACTGGATATGTTATTAATATAACTGAATCATAAATATATCTGAAGGAGAGTACCATTATCAATACAATATGCTATTGAAATTAATTCTTTATTCTATTTTTGTGCATATTTTCCTTGTAATGCATTATTGTTAAATGAGCTAATTTTGCAAACCAAACTTTCAAACTCATGTATATTATTCTAACAAAAGAATTGTATTTATTTCAATATCTATATCATGAAAAATTAATTTTGAAAAATCCAATGCTTATATACCCAATAATAATATTTATAAATCATTCTGAAGGCATTTACATTATATAGTTTATTGTAACTAGGCTAGAGATGAATTTCTGTTAAAAAAGGCAAACATCTGCCAATTATTTGTTAGATATATTTCTTAATTGTTACAAGTTTTTTCTTGATCAAATAATCCATTTCTTGTTGTTAGTACATACATAGTTGCTTGAAAAACTCATGGGAATTCCAAGATTTAAATTCTAAGATTCAGCTGGATAACAGGTCAGGGAAGCATTAGCTAAGAACAAGAACTGGGAAATTACAAAACATCTCACAAATTCTAATTTAGAAGACATCAGAGAGATAAAAAGTTTTACCTGTTAATGAAAACATTCTATACTTGATCTACTAAAATTTCAACATAGGAATATTTTAGTTATACAAACTTTGTTGTTTTATAGGACATTTGAAAAGTTCATTTTTGTAACTTTAAATCTCTTTTGTGTATTAAGTTTCTTGAATTGCATTTGAAAAAATTAAGAGTATAAATAGACTCATCAGTGCATTCACTTGTTTGATTTCCATCTGTAGCTATCATTATGAGATAGGAATTGCTATTATTAATTTCAATTTATATGTTTACAGATTCTGTTTGTTAACTTAGGATGAATTGTTAAGCATGCATTGCAGGCATTAGCTATATTTTTCTTGCACTTGAAAAAACTGATAAAAAGATATGGGAATGTCTCATTTTATTACTACAGTTTAGACAAGTTTAAGTGACCTTTTCATTTCTTCAAAATGTTAAACTGAACTTGCCAGAAAGTAATGCTCAAGGAGCAATGTGTGGATTAGAAATGAACAAGCTTTCAAACTTGGATCCCAAATGCCTAACTTGATACATTCTTTCTTACCACTCAGGCCCTTTTCTCATTCTATGACAGTCACATTGAAAACAAGGAATCAGAATGTTCCCGGTAGAAGGATCCTTAAGGTTAATTTAATCCAACTTGCACCCTATGACACAGGGATATATATATATATATAGATCTGCATGTCCAAGTCTGTAGCTAGAAACTGGCGCTGGACCGAATTAAACTGCATGTAAAGAACTGAGAAATTTTAAGTAAACGGTTAGGAAATTTGAGTGGAGCTAGATATAAATTCCAGAGGCCCAGTGTAACATGAAGAAAGGGCAGAAAAAGGGACCCTTTTGCCATGGGAGCTTTGGGGACAGAAGAATTTATAGGATGGGACAAGCCAAAGATGGTGATCTATTGCGGTTTTTATGATGTAAACTGTCTCTTGTGTAATCTTCCGCAAATTCTGTATTTTTCACTAATTCAAGTGGGTATTTTGGAGGGATGGCTTTTGGGGGAGCTGAGGAGACAACTGATGTTTACATTGTAATTTTTATTTGTATTAGAAATGCCTATATAAGTTTATAGATTTGTTGCAATTTTCTTTTTCTTTAATTGGGATATGTATCTTTATAAGTGAATACAAAATTAAATTGATGATTCTGTTTCAATTGTTTAGTTTGATGCATAAAAATCTTTTACTTTTCTACCTTTGTGTATTTTTTAGAAAGCAGTCCAGGCCCTTCATGATAGGTAGGTTCTGCATATCTTCAT